TTGCCTCACTTGTTGCGTCAAAATTCCTCAAGCGTCGCGTGTACCAGATTACATTAAGACCTGTATAGCTGCATGATCTGGCCTCTTCGAACAAACGCTGTGAGTCATCTTCGGCTTTTTGACTACCGATATCTCCGAAAAGTAGCTGGTGCGGATGGCGTCAACAAATTCGCAACAAGATGATTAGAAAAAGGATATCCGGTTGCGCAGCAGGAAAACATCGCGGAAAACATATCCAGCATTACCGGCTTCGGTTGCTCGATCATGTGCTGTGCATCCGAAGCACTGTCTACTGAGGCGAGGGTTATTCTCCATGCCTCCTTCGGAAAGGCACAAACCACGAGGTTGAAAACGTATCACTTGGCAGAAGATTTTTAAAGAGATTACAAAAGAGTTTACGTGTTGGTGCGACTCGCCCCCCAGCAGGGGGTTTCCGTGATAACCGCCATCATGAGAATGTCCTAAGACTGGAAGAAATGGCGGGTACGTGATATAAGGAGAGTTCCTCTTATCAGTTTCTCTCGGATTTTCTTATTGAGTGTTTGGGAACGAGGGTAACACAGAGAGCCTTCGGTAGGCTGGCACCAGGTCCCGCCCTCAGTGAATATTTTCTGTATTTATTGCTTTCGATATAATTAAATAAAATTTATGATTGTACAGCAGTGAAGCATCAGTGTCAACACTAATGTTGCTGTCTCTGATGATGATATAATTGCCGACGACTCTGGTTTTACACTCTAACAACATGTGCACTGTTTTTTGATAGCATTTGAATGGGTTGACTTCTTGAATGTATTGATCCCATTCCCCAAGAAAAAAAGAATTTTACGAAAAGCACTATTTCATCCCCTTAGTCATTAGAGCCTTCTCCATCCACAAATGTGCGACGATTAGGCACCCACATTCAATACTCTTTTATTGACGTCCATGATGTGGAAAGTAAGCCACATATTTGGCATCTTTGTTTTCAGGCTATGTGAACTAACTAACGTGAACTAACAAACACGATGGAACGACCCAGAGTGGTTCGATTTTTAATCGCAAGCGTTTTTCATCCTGTTGAACCTGCTTTGTCTCACACGCCGTGTGGCCTGAGTACAAACATTCACTAGTAAACTTTTCTGATAACATACCTATTGGGCAATAACCAGCCTGCAAACTACGCTGTTATGGTGAAGCAAGACCTATCCCTATCCCCATGAACACGTTTTTTTTTGGAAAAAAACCTGTCCGGCTATATCAAATTGTATTTGTGGGTCTGCTTTTATCGTAGGTCTCAACATTTTATTTCTGGTTATACATCAACAATGATGCACGAAAGCTTTGTCGGATTTCAGTCCGGTGACCAGGATGATCATTTGCCAGTTTGCTAGAACCAAGGTCATGAAATGATGTGCTCGAAAACCCAAGTAAGTATAGTCATCCAAATCATCTGATTCTAATTAGTGGAACGCAAAAGTTTACAAGAAACGACTGTGGGCCTGTAGATCAAATCAAAAGGATATCAAACCATAGAAGTTCGGCAGGTAACGGCAGAGTGATCGGACTTAAAAGATTTGACATTAAGTCCGTGATGCTGATTGAATAGGGTGGGCTTACCAAACTCTAGTGGCTAATTAACAGTAAGCAGCATGATATTTGTGGGCACCGCTTGGGTGCAAACTCGGATCAGACGGAAAGATTCAGCCGCACCGATCAGGGTTGGATAGGTGGTCCACAGACATCACCGTTCGTAAGCAGTAAGTGAATCCCAACAAAAAATACAGGCAAACAGCTAAATTAAACGTTCGCTGAGCAGTGGGGTCATCGAATTTCAACATTTCAGTGGTGAAGGTGTCATCGGCTTGGGTCAAGTGTGACAACTGAGCGAACAAATGCTGATTTAGTCATGGAAAGCGAATAAGCGATCAGTAAAGTCAAGACTAAAGTTGAACCAAGCCTGGTTGCTTGTTGTCTAGCTGGAATAAAGGAATGTGCACCAGGGGATACTATACCGGCGTCCATCAACTGTGGATTGTTAGACGTATCAAGCTACGTCAGAACACGAAGGAGTCGAAGGGGTTGTCAAGACAGTTTCAGTGTTCAGCATCACTACCAGGTTGCTAGAGATAGCTCAATTGTCGAACTGTTGCCCAGAAAGTTTGTAATTCGAAACCAACACTCGCGTTTCGTCCCCTCCAGCTCTAAATTTTGGTAATCTGACAGTATCCCAACCCTCCTACTTCCTTCAAGTTTCATCGCAGCCACAGCTACAGCTGAACATAGTTGTTTGAAATTATTATTTCTGAGGTTGATAAAAAACCCCGGAGGAAGATTTCTCCATCTATTGCAGATAAAACAAAATTTTGTTCCTCTCCGAGGATGAGCTCCCTTCCGCTGATGAAGACTGTAAAAACCGATGACCACTGGTCTACGATACATATTGTCGAATGATGTAGTTATGGTTCAACTAATACTAAATTTCACCATGTTTTTTGCTGATTCAAAACAAATCTTATGGTTCGTTGATCAGCTGGTTTGGACGCCGTTCACGTTGTTTGTGGAGTGCTGATTGCCTGTATCTCGTTTTCCATCGGCTCCGGATCTTCCAAATGTTTTTAGGCACTGTCAAATCGCCCAATAAAAAAAGACCGAAACCTTTATCCACTTTGTGGATGCACCTGTATACGTTTACATCGACTGTCTCGATTACGAGTCCGCTATCAACACACTTGAAAAGTTGTACGTCCGTCCTAAGAATATAATTTATGCTCGTCATCTACAAACTGGTAAACAAAACACTAGTCAAGAGGTTGATCAGTTTGTTGCGAGACAAATAATTGGCCAAAAATTGTGATATCAAGGCGGCGTCCGCCAGTGATCACCAAAACGAAAGTGTACGCGATGCTCCGACCAACGGACCTCAGTGTGCTACCATCACAGACAGCCTTCTGGTGCAAAATGAACCCACTCTCTATATGAAGCACATGGATTGGGTGCGTCATTAGAATCGGCCCACAAACAAGCGCAGTCATACTCGCCTAACAACGTACGCGACCCTACATTTTAAGAAACCGAGAAGCCTGACCACACTCATTATTTCCCCTTAGTGGAATTTTACAATCATTCAGTACTTTTGACCGATTTACCCCTCTTTACACAAAATTCAATGGCCCAGGTGAATGTCATGACTATCCACTGTGTTCATATTGTCGCTTCGTATTAACTGTGCTTTCCCCTTTAGTTTCAGCTTATGTACGTCCATTCTTCGACAAATGAAGCGTTATTCATTCTTGTTTTCGCGCTCAATCAGAATCGATACTTCATCTGTAACAGTGGGGAATAGTAAAAGCACCTAAAAACCGGTAGAATTATCTTAAAATTACCCTAAAATGAGCGGAATTCCCTTCTCTTTACATGATAGATTTCGACAAGTCAAAGGTCATCTTCGTATTTTGCAATACACAATTTACTCGTCTCACGAATAATGACATACTAGCTAGACTTTTCTTACGCAATAGGGATGCACCGACCTAGATTATAACGGTAACCTATTTGTATCCTGTCTCCATCCGTAGTCGATACATCTTTTTTAAACCGCTATCCGCCACATAAATGATAATGATAAGCACCTATCACCTAACGGGTTACGGGGGAGTTGTATTGGACAATAACTTAGGCCCGGTGCTGTTGTTCGAGGGGGCATAGAGTTCAGCTGAAATTCCGCCGGCTTCTGATAATATCTCTCAAGTTTTCAATCTAGACAGACTGGGCGCATGGGTGTTGAACTGTGTCCCGTAACTCACGTCACACGAAATCGCCAAGTTCCATAGGTAACTTGAGTTTCCGGGAGACGAGATTCATCGCTTTTGGAATACAAGCGTGGACTTTCTATGGAGGTGAAGAGGCGCGGGGCCTCTGCAGATATGGGGAAGCTTACGCTAATTCGATGGGGAAGGCCTGTTACCACTAAAGAAACCTATGGGTCTAAGTTTACACAAAGTCCATAAATAAGGCGATTGTATCTCTTGTGGGTATAACAAATGACACCATTAGACGCCGCCCTCGTTATCCTGGTTTGAAACAACAGTGAAACTAATTACGATTGATTATTCGCATTACACCTACACGAATTCACAACGCAGTGGTTCGAAAAATGCTGGTCGCTGTAGTGGCTGCTAAAAGAGCTCATGTTATTTAGACTACCAATATACCCTTGATATCAAGTATGAGCCTATCCAAACATCCTTCACGACTACCGTACTGACTATTACAAACGAATGTTCGCGGCTCGGGGACAGATAAACAAAACTATTGCAATGGAGTGTTGGATGGTTCTGTCTAGACAACCTCAACACGCTGTACTCATAGACTTCGTCTGGGAAGGAAGATACAGTCAAGTAGAGTCCTTATGACATGAGGAATGAGATGTCACCATCCTACTGAAGCCTATAGGCAACTAGGCTTCCACTGTTTTGTAGATCACCATCAGTGCACAACCCATGACCCTGGTAGCTAAGAACGACTTCTTAGCAATCTAAACATACACGATCGTTCGAATGTGACGAAGAGGACATCCGGGCCTTGAGGTTGGCAAGTGCCGTTACTAATAATAAATCTGAGCATGATACTTAGGTTGTGAGGATACTTTTTAACTGTTGTATTGAAGGTACCTGTAATCAGTGGCTTGCAAAGGTTCATGCGAGACAGGAAAACGGTGGCCAGATGCCATGACATTGATCAGGCACCCCACCAACAATCCTTTTCACCATTGGTCCAGTGGATATTCGGCGGAGACCCAGGGAATGATGTAATCCGAACCGCTGCAAAACGATAAGCCTATGTGGAGCATTCTCCAGACCAACATATCCTGTGGGAACTCAGGTCCTATGCTTTTGAGTAGTACTGTACCAACCACTCATTTTGACGGTAGTGGACTCATTTAAAATCGCGTGATTCTCAAACCCTACAGTAGAAGGGCTACCTGCTGTCAAATTTGTAATAAGACTGAAAGAGATTTGGAATATTCAGGATTGGTCTTCATTTCTAGAAGTCTCTGAACACTGAGCAAGATGCGGCCTTCAAAGCAATGGGCACAAAGCATCAGAGCAAAAGAAAGCTTGCTGCCACACTTAGACCACTTGCCACGGTTGCGGAAACAAAGAGGAACGCGTGAGGGCGAAGAGTATTGCCGGGGAAATGGGATCACAAGATAATTATGAACACAGAACTCGAGACCTGAGTATCAAGTAGACCACCATTAATGGCTATGAAAGTGAATCCCAATAGGAGTAGAAAGAAATCACCAGACAGGGTGCACGCAAAGCTCCGGAATGAGAAGAAACGAACTGATCACAAATCACATTAGCGGTATGTGTGCACAATGTGTAGGAAGGGATAAGATAGGAACCAGAAATCAAAACGAACAAGTTGATAGCACAACCAGTAATCACGTTGATTGATACTGCACTGGTCACGATGAATCGCGAGGAGATGGTCCGGTATCCGAATGTGAAGGAGATGGACTCGTGGTAGGACTGGTTCTCGAACTATCCAACAACTCTATGGTGTGGTGAACTTGCGATAACACATTCTGTATCTGAAACAAGAGAATGAGATAACGTGTAACATGGAGGTGCAACAAAGATGTGGAGTCCTGCAGAACTGGGCAATCCTGTCAAAAGGCCAGCAATTAAAGATTAGTTCTTTTTTCGCCTTCATCATCCACAAGGCTATAGTATTTGTATTTTCAGGGACTATTTGAACCACCGAGTTTTGTACCACTCTACTGCGGTTTGTCAAACGAGCGGTTATCGAGGATAACGATATAACTTGCAAGTCATAAATGTGTATTAATGCGGTTTTGGATCTAGCTAGACGTGTTCCCATTGCAATCCACCTTATCAACTTCATGTCCGACCATAGCTTATCAACGTGAAAACTACCAACTGGTAGCGGCTATTTGCAGTTTGCTTCACAAAATCAATAACTCACATAGTCATCCTACTTATCCTAAGGCTCATCAGCACTGCGCTTTAACCAGCACTTACTGGAACCGGTTTTCAGTCCAAGTGGCGTTATAGTTCACAGCCATCAACCGTGATCTCTCATTTGTTCCTATGGCGTTACAATTGTCCACGTCTTGGTTTCTGTTGCCATGGTGGTGGCACAGGAAACAATGGCACGTGAGGGATCCACGGCAGCACCCGCCCCCCGATACACTCGATGACCGAAATACTTTCAAACTCACCGAACGCCCATTTCTCAAACATTCACTGACAATTCGCTTACATCATCCGGTTAACTTCTAGTCAGGGAACAAGAGAACGGAGGGACAGGAGTCCAAGTACTAGGAGTTGCTGAAGGGAAAAGTGAACTCAACTTTATGGAGAGTACTAGCTCAAATGAATACTTACATGATCAAAGTATGCACACTGATAGGTGTGCATGAAGGGGATCACTCGATCTGACTGTTCCACGGACAATGTTCCTACTCTTAAGGCGGTAATATTTGGGAGGAGGATGAGCATTGGTGCGGTAATACGGCGGTTGGAGATGTTTTCGCCTTCATCATCCACAAGGCTATAGTATTTGTATTTTCAGGGACTATTTGAACCACCGAGTTTTGTACCACTCTACTGCGGTTTGTCAAACGAGCGGTTATCGAGGATAACGATATAACTTGCAAGTCATAAATGTGTATTAATGCGGTTTTGGATCTAGCTAGACGTGTTCCCATTGCAATCCACCTTATCAACTTCATGTCCGACCATAGCTTATCAACGTGAAAACTACCAACTGGTAGCGGCTATTTGCAGTTTGCTTCACAAAATCAATAACTCACATAGTCATCCTACTTATCCTAAGGCTCATCAGCACTGCGCTTTAACCAGCACTTACTGGAACCGGTTTTCAGTCCAAGTGGCGTTATAGTTCACAGCCATCAACCGTGATCTCTCATTTGTTCCTATGGCGTTACAATTGTCCACGTCTTGGTTTCTGTTGCCATGGTGGTGGCACAGGAAACAATGGCACGTGAGGGATCCACGGCAGCACCCGCCCCCCGATACACTCGATGACCGAAATACTTTCAAACTCACCGAACGCCCATTTCTCAAACATTCACTGACAATTCGCTTACATCATCCGGTTAACTTCTAGTCAGGGAACAAGAGAACGGAGGGACAGGAGTCCAAGTACTAGGAGTTGCTGAAGGGAAAAGTGAACTCAACTTTATGGAGAGTACTAGCTCAAATGAATACTTACATGATCAAAGTATGCACACTGATAGGTGTGCATGAAGGGGATCACTCGATCTGACTGTTCCACGGACAATGTTCCTACTCTTAAGGCGGTAATATTTGGGAGGAGGATGAGCATTGGTGCGGTAATACGGCGCCTGGTTGGAGATGCTGCAAGATACGGCTGCCAACCGATCTCAGTGGCGATCTCGTTGTCAGTTTCTATTCAGATTGCCTGAATGAGTATTTGGAGGAGTAAGCACCTAGGAATGACTGTAGTAAGCTAGCACTAAGTCTCTTCACTATCCACCTTTATTCTTTCCATCACAATAAGGCTTTCAAATAAATCATGGTTGTATGTCAGCAAAGCATCGGTGCTGAACATTGATTTCATGCTGTCGACGATGATGGTGATGTTCAACGATAATGGCGATGGTGGTTCATACGAGATAAGGTCCAGAAATGGCCGTTTCGCAGCTTAAAAAAAACAAGAATTCCTTCCTAACACTGTATGTTTTTCGATTCTCCGAGTGAAGCCGATCTCACGGCTTGCTCCGTGAGCAATTTGGCACCAACTAGGACGTACTGATCGAACGGAAAGAGAGGCCGCCTAAAAGCATGGTAAACATTACTGATAAAAATTCACTGAAAACTCGCCTTAATAGAAATTGGAAAATGTCGCGATATGGGGGTAAAACATCCAAGGAAGCGTACAATACCTTAGTTCAGGAAGATCAATTTTCAATTTCCTAACACGACACATAATGAATAACGTCTGGACAGTTCAACAGGGAAAACGGTACATAAAACGTGTAGCATAGGAAACGAGCATAATCGTCTCTTTTTTCGGAAGTATGCATTCTTCTGGGAGTGGGGAGAGATATGGTTCCATGGTAGTCTTTTAGAAGGACTGGTTATTTACAGGTGCACACTTCAGTGGTTCAACTACTCAGTGAACAAGTGTTTGAAAAGAAGTACCCAACAAACCTGTGTAAGAGTCTGGGACATTGAAATTGTGAGTTCCTTCATCACTCGCAATCTGGATTGGGAAGCATCAAACGATGCGGGGTTCCTAGTGAATGAAGACGACAGCTGGTCCATAAAACCGGGACCAACAAACTTCGTGGGCGATTGTGCTTCGGATAATTGCTCGGCCAGGTGTTCCAAAGCAACCAGGCGATTGTAAACCATAGAAAGACATAAACAGAGCAACAGGCTTCTATAGAGGGGGAAAAGCGATAAAGAAAAATCATCAAATTAGTGAAATGGCAGATCGAACATCACATTTGTGAGAATAGTCTGAATAATGATGCGTTTAACAGACACACAAGAAGAAAACGCCTAACGAGAATCTCCGTTGATATGCATCCAGTCGTATTGCAGGGGATGTCAGCACAAGAGAAAAATATCTACGTTCAAATTACTTATTGAAACAACTCAGGGAGATCATTTTGGAATACGATTCCGCGAGGCAGTTTGGAGAGGAGCTACACAACAGACTGTTTATAGCAGTGTGAAGTCTCCTAGACTCAGGTACTTTTGAACATCCAGGCACTTAAACCCATGAGTTTATCCCAGTTTCAGAGACTGAAGTTTTTTTGGCGGATAGTAAAATAACGAAGAACGACTATAAAGTCAAACAGAAGAACAGCAAACTGTCCTAGTGGACTAGATTACCCAAATCTGCCTCACAGTAGCCAAGTGAAATAGAGAGAGAAGTTCATTTTGAGTAGATCATGCTCACTGATTGCCACAAACAACGTTAAAACCAATTACGGAAGTCTACAGAGAATTTTTTGTGCTGTATACAGTCAAGTGCATCCAATTCCAACCAATGTCACGCACTGCTGGCCGTCAGTATGTCTACTGCGCTTGATTACCTGAAGGAACACAGTTACTAATCGAGATTAACTGCCTTTTTACTCAAGGATCCAACATCACATATGATAAAAAGGGTCACAGTGACGTGATTGAACCAGACGGCTGCTAAATATTATTCAGCATCCGTGTCCACACTTATATAATAGACTCTTCACCTGTCGATGCCCGCTAGTTCAGTCGCAACTGCTGGTAGACACTAAACGTGGGGTTGAATCAGTCGAAAGGCGGGCCCTTCACTTTAACGTTTGCACACCCCCGAGTGAAGCACGTACAAACTCAATACAGATTCTGTTGCTGGCAGACAAGGCAGTTGCTTCTTACACTCAAAGCTATCTGTTCTAAAAACCAGAAAACCATGAATTGTGGTGGATACACAAATCCGCATTTGAGACCCTGCAATATAGCATGGAAACTTCCGCTAAATGGGCTTTCGTCCAGTAAGTGAAGTCAATTTAGGATGAATAGTCGAGCAACACTGTACAGCTGTTTCATCGAGATTAGGAATCATTAATCACGATAGGTTAAGGCTGTGCAGGAGCCTCTGCCCCGCCTCAGCACAACCAAGTGTGATCTGTGGGGCGCCAGAGAAGTGGCTGAGAGCAATCGAACGAAAGCTCCGTCATCGCTACTAGACGTTAAATGTGCCAGAGATGATTAGTGTTCTTGCCGCTGTAGGTCTGGGAACAGCGTTCGGCCAACTCTCCTAGCCAGTCTATAGAACCCGACAGCAGATTTCGAACTTCACCGGATCAAGTCACTGAACATATACGATTCGTTGGCGATCAACATCAGTAGGACGAAGTTCTCCACCCAAGCAGACTTTCTTCATAAGTAATCCTCCGCACATGAGATCATGAGGTTGGAGGCGCCAGGAGATAAGCCAGAGGGATTGACACTCTTGTCGATGCAGAAAGGCAAACGTTTACTCAACGTGTGAAATCTTCTTTTAGGAGGATGCGAAATCACCTATTCAAAGCATCCGCGAACTCAGCTTTTTACCATCAGTGTCTGAGCCGCATGCTGAACAAGATATCCGAGTCGGAGATTAGACAACCCGACCAAGAAGCGACAAACTCAATAGGTTAGTAGCGTTGTGCGGAAGCCTGGAAGCTAGCTGAGAACGGTTGTCTGGCTCGTTCAGAAGAATAAAAATGGAGGGTGTATTCAAAGCCACCACTCATTATGGCATGATTCGTCAGCATTTGCGCTCACATCCTACTGTAGGAACAATAAACACATTGTTGTTTTGGATAGTTGAACTGTTGGCCACTTGATGTAACGATGAAAGACGAGTAAGTGGGTGACCACAGACTCGTGCGTCTATAAGGATTGCTGGGCTGGGTAATGGAGATCGAAGAGTCGCCACTTACCCAAAGGTGTTTGCTTCAAGATGAGCACATCAAATCTCACAATGTATGTTAAAAGGTGGGCCGCCTTTCAAGCAGCCACTCATGACAAACGAGGTGGGTTCCCTCTCTCCTTAGTCAGGTATCAGTCAACTGGCTTTGCCTGACTTAAATGTAATATACTGAAGAAACGTAGGAAAATGAATCTTCAACGATTACACTAAACAGCGTACAAAACACGAGTCAGACAGTAGAAAGCGATGACCATGCAATCAACATAGACGAAAACTCACACAACTACTAAGAGCAGCCACGCTCTGTCGGGTCGTAGGAAAAAGTAACCAATCTCGGTTAGCGATGCTGATTGTGCTATGAAAACGGGAGCGTTGGAAGGTGGGTTTGCGGAGGATTTGAACTGTCGCTTATGGGACGGGGAGGACGCAGCATTAGCTGGCAACTTGGCATCGGATCTTCCGCGTTTTCGCGCCACATCTACATGGTTTATATCTCCCAGTTCACCATTCAGTTGGCTCCGTTGAGCTACTATCTTAGCCGGGTTTCTGGAGCGCACGCCATCGTGAATAACGGCTGCATTTGTGCTTTGGGCGCTTAAACAAGCGCCAGTCAGACGTTCTTCTTCAGTGAGAGCAGATGCCATTTCTGTCAGATGAGTCACAAGTGCAGTGAAAAAGTCAGTCAGCCCGGAACGACACGTGTTCTCGATTATGCTTTTCGCTCCAAAAAACACCGGTTTCTCGTAAACCACGCGCGAAGATACACGCAGACGGCTGTTGGTTCGGTCAATCCGGAGTAAACAATAGCGGCTAACGACGCAGAAACAATTGCATAGAGGCACAGCTTGATTGGTTACCTTGGCGTCTATTACGTAACAACGACCAGGTTGCGATTCACTAACCAGAAGTGTCTACAAGGAAATGAACAAAAGACCATAATGGGCTCGGAAAACGAAAATTGTGCAACAGTGCTTTTGATAGTACAAATGAAAGATGTGGTTAAGTAAACTTCCCGCACATGAAATAACCGTTAAAAGGATGGACAAATCAGTATGGCTCCTCAATGATTCAACCGAGTCATGTTTTCGAATTGTACACCACCCAATCTAGACCGGCATGGACACAGTGAACTAGCTGAGTCGGTGTATAGATTGACAGCAAAAAGAAGAGATAAATACACTAGTTTAAAGACCTCCGTTCAACATTAGCCTATGCCAACCCGTACACACTCCGCCTGAAGTTTTTCAGCTTCGCACCAGACTTTCCCAGACAATTTTTCTTGCAAAATGGGTCATCGTTGACCCACCAAACTTTACTAGAACTACTTCAGGGATCCGGGAACCCGGATCAGATGGGTGAAATTGTGCACGAAATCCGTAAAATCAGAAGATATACCTTCTGAAAAACGAGATATGATCATTAGGCATGTTGCCCTTGAAGGCAGAATGGTCGATACCTCACGTGACATCGGTGGTCAGTCAGTGAGTCAGTTTATCAGCCATAAAACATTAAGCAAAGGTATGTTGGTTCAGCTGCTACAGTCCCGGTCATCAGAAAATAAGACATCGTGGGAGATATAACCGAAAATCAGAAGCGACGACAGTCCGGAAATCTGGGCAGCTATGCACTGAAGTTGACAGCTTTAATGCGCCACTCACTGTGTGGCGGAACCACTTTTGCCAGTGTCAATTGATACGCACGCATCGCAGAGGCAGTATATTCTATGCCCCTAGTTTGGACATAGCAAGTTCTCCAGCCAGAAAAATTGCAATAATACTAAGGACGTAAAATACTCCCACTAGCTAAAATGTCTCTCCCAAGACAACATTGAGGGACAGGTGTTTCTATTGGTGCTCGTCACCCTTAATGCAAGTGAATTTCCTCGCTCAAGAGAGGAACGCTTTATATTCGTTTTTTCACGTTCTTTTCCAGTATATTACTATTATTATTTCGTTACTGAAGACTGCGTCAAACATTTCTGGGGGAAAACATAGCTTACCTGCTGTTCAATCGCTGCACATGTTCGGGGTCCCAATTTTTGGTTGAGCTTTAACGTATATCCAATGGCTCGTTCAGGATTTACTATGGGCTCTGTCGCACTCATCTCACGTTCCGATTTAGACCAGTTCACGGTAGGCCACGACGACTGGGCTAAGTTGAATGTACCACGAGCAGTACTCAAGCGATCGAAGAATACGGAGTCGGTGAAAATGCAAGTAAACAGAGCATCCACATTAAGGGGAATCAAGGCGTCCGCGTACAACTGTCCTGGATGATCATGACCAGGAAAACAGGTGACGACGGAGTCAGGACCCTCACCATTTACAGGAGGTGAAAGTGTAAACTGTGTGAGTTGCGAAGGAGGGATTCCAGAGGAGGGTTGGGGTCGACTAGGACGCTTTTTCGACCGTCTTTTACGTTCAGATTTCATGGACAATTGTCCGGCAGAATGTGTCTCATGTAAAGCCGGATCAGTTTCGGTGGCTCCACTATCTGCAGCATTGTGTCGTAAATCAGGAGTGTGGCAGCGTCTGCGTGTTCCAAGTTCCATGGAACTGGGGAGTACCTGTACGTCATAATCTAGGACCCTGTCACGGTGCAGACCATCTTCGTTGAACCCCTCTTCGTCTGTGGAAGCGAATCCACTGAGACCACCAGAGTGGTTGGCACCGTTGTCAGAACCCCACATAGTAGCATCAACGTTGGCGTTGTTCGCCGTATCTGCAGAGGTTAAATTAGGGTCTGAAGAGTCCGAAGTTGTCCGTATCTGGAAAGGTGCAAGATAAGTTAATCCTGGACGTGTTTGAAGGTTAGAGCTGGAAAATGGAAGAAGTCTAAAGAGAATGTAAACAAGCGAACAAAGAACACGTTGAATGACCAGACACATAAAACAGATAAATCACAAGATTATCCAGCTAGCCTTAGCTCATTGACGCCATGGCCCGAATTCGCATGACAAAGAATATGGATAATATTGCGAGCTTATTTCAACATACGCCTCTAGAATATCATTAGCTGAACTACGAGCGCAGTAGACAAGTGGGTCACCACTTGGGAGTCCTCAAAGTAAGCCACCAAGCTCCTGAAAAAGACTGGGCATCTTCATGCGACAGGCGGTCGGAAAAGAACGCGTACAGAAGTGTGGTTCAGAACCCGAAATTTTTTTCGCGTGACTGTTATTGCTTAGAGCATAGATGAACTAACATGGTGCTCAGTCCAAACAGGTTCACCCGAATTCCGAATTTATCACATCACCATAGACTGTCACTGGTGTGATTAAGCCAATAATGGTCGCTCGCCACGGGATCTGCACGAGTTAACCGTAATCACTCACTTTTCCGATTCTAAAGGCTAAAGGAAATGCACTCCCCTCGCTTAGGCACTCGAAAGTTGTCAGGCTGGGAAATCAAGCAGACATAGGAGAACAGTCTTCTTTAAACGTGGAGGGTCAAAGTATCTTTGGACGTGAATGAGTACTGGAGTATGATCTTTCAAATGCTGAGCAGTGCTGGGGCCACCGTTTGTGATTTGCCGCGAAAACTCAGCTAAAGTGGTACTACAACCTTGGAGTGCATTCTAACTGAAAGCAAACACAACCCGATTCACATATCTTTTGGATGCCAGGCGACATTGGACGAACTAGTTGATCGACCAAGACAGACCAGAGAATGAAACAAGCAGATTTTAAACGTCTTCCCGAGATTTGCTAACCTAATCGAGCAAGCGTTCTGGGAAACCCAATGCAAGCGGTACCATAACATGGGGGGGGGGGGAACCTCGGAGTACACAGCCGAGAACCGGATGTTCGGTGTTGTTCACTGGGAGTGTTGAAATGTAATATTATGTTGGGCAGCGAACATTAAACGTTTTATGAGAGAATACCACTCCAAAGGTTGCTGAAAACACTCTACCTTAGGTGATATATGAGTGCTTCCGAACTCCGACCCTCTGAATCCCAAAACCTTTGGCCTGATCTGTTATAAGTGGTGAAATCATTCGACAACACCTCATCTGCATCGATTTCGGAACCCGCGTCCGTCCAAACCAAACCGATATGAGTCGATATTGGCGTCCACTTACAAGTAAAGAATTCGTACTGAATAAGCTCATCAAAAGAGTGCCAAACCGACACGCAGTACGACTAGAAGTCAGATTTCATCTTATGAGGACAATGACAATGACTCCTAGGCATGCACGCTGTTTACTCAGAACGTTCACCTCGCTGCACAAGAAACGACATCCCATGATGTTAAGACCTCTAAGGATTTTAGGTGACAGGCAACCCGCGACCACAAAGCAAACCGCTTGAAAGCGATCCATCGGAAATCTGCTCCCGGGTAATCTATATCCCGTTCCACTCAGCACCTCTTCGCCGACCAGATTTTAAACTCAGAATCAGAAAGGACAGATCCAACTACGATTCTGATAGATTCCTGATTCCAGGGTTAGTTACTTCAAGTCACAAGATCCGCGTTTTACTCTAAAGTGTCGAGTGAGCAGAAATCAGTCAATAGCAAGTCAAGAAAGAAACAGACACTCTGACTTGCTGTGGAAAGACTGACAACCGCGGCCTACAAAACTGAGTGACTGAGCATCAAGTCAGCTAAAAATTGCGTTGAAGTGTCTTGAACATTCCAAAGGATGTTGCATATGAGAATGCCAGATAGTCTCTGAGACATCAAATACCAAACGATACCAATGAAGCGTTAGGTTCACATGTCGCCCAGCAGAAATCTAGACAAAAAGCTTTCGTCTCTGACCAAAAGAAAATATGAACAATGAAGTGCTAAATAAATCCCACAGAAGACGGGCGTTTTCGCCATATCGAAGTGCAACCACACAAGTTATGCCATTATACACCGTTTTCTAGTGGAACTACGTATTGGATGCGAAGAAGCAATCGATCACACACACGGTATTCAACGTTCATTCGCCGGAACATACTATGTATAAGGTTTGTATTATCAACATAGCTCACGTGATATGTTCCGAATAACGATACAGCAATAGTATGCGTTATCTCAAACAGATATTGCTCGCCTTATCATATTGTAAATTTCAATATCCCATTTAATCCTGACAGTCAAGGTATGAAGAACTGAATGTTATGACAATGATAAGCTGAGTTTCTCAAGGCACAACTTGGAATTCAAACAAACACCAAACGGCTTGCTCCAAAGCAGCATCGTCCACTTTTGCCGAGCCCAGTAGATATCCATGAAAATGGATGGACGAATGGATGGATGAAATGGATGGACTAACTTCCAGAACAGGCCATTTTGAGTTTGTCTCTTCCAGAATGGAACACTTTTAGTCAGTCTATTTGGGTACGTGACCCAGAGGGTATAAGGGCATACACGGTGACCGGTCGCCTTGTTTCAGAATTTGCCCTTGGGGCAGAATGACGCGGTTGGGTAGTTAGGGTTCGTTCTCTAGATCCTTTCCAGTCATAACTTAATTTTGACACTCGACGTAGTACACGGAACGTCCACAACGCCTCACACACAATCGCTCATTCGTGCTGCACAACTCCAAATAGTTGCAGCATGACGGCACAGTCACCCAATCCTTGTTCCTCTCTTAGGCTCCCACTCCCACGAACCTCAAGCCATAAAATTAGAGATTTATGATGAAACGAACTCAATGTACTGTTTTCAGAACGACACCAAGGAAAGAAAGACCAAATTGAAGTGCAAATTCCTACAGTCAGGACAATTGAATTTCGGACTTAAATTGTTAGGGCAGGTAGCATGAAAATAGGTGGAACACTAAAGTTTGCTCAGCAGTTGGTAAACTCATCAGGCAACTGGGGAACAGTCAGGTTGTCTAACCCCACAATGATCGGGAAAAGCACTAAAGTGTTGTTTGAAATTTGACCGTATTTAGACTCATAAGGTGGGCACATAACGATGGATCATGCGGTGACAAGTGTCGCGCAACTCGATGGCTCACAGTTGGACTTCCTACCCTCATGTTTAGATGAAGCAGGTCACAAACAAGAAACACGAACGAACTGCGCGAGTAAGTGTGGACTGTTTCCCGGGATTCCTGCTACAACTTGTCACGATTGCTGGGTCCTTAACAGGAAGCTAGTACACAACGATCAATTAGACAGATAAGGTTACAGTACGGAACGAACTGCATGATCACATCTGGTGAATTTTGTTTGGTCCGATCGGATGATAATATCACCAATGAACTGCATAGACTCTATTGTGGGTTACGCTGATCAATCCCTCACATTTTCTAACTCAAATGCAGTGTGGGACCCAAAGTGAATATCATACCGAAAAATAAATCCCATTGGTGAACGGTCCCCCCCCCCCCAATGAAACTTCGTTCCACATTGGCTAACTTAACTTCATCTACAACAAAGCCCGTCGGTGACAAGCTCATGGCATGAGACAATTTAGGATCTCGGCGCAGAAAGGAGGAAACATTGTCTATCAAAGACGAACAACCAAACTCGAAATGATTTTCCGGTGAAGGGACGACTAACTGCAATCCCATTGATGAACTGTCCCCCCCCCCCAATGAAACTTCGTTCCACATTGGCTAACTTAACTTCATCTACAACAAAGCCCGTCGGTGACAAGCTCATGGCATGAGACAATTTAGGATCTCGGCGCAGAAAGGAGGAAACATTGTCTATCAAAGACGAACAACCAAACTCGAAATGATTTTCCGGTGAAGGGACGACTAACTGCCTTTTACTACAAAACGACAAGAATTATTTCCACAGACATCACCTCGTTCCACGAATCCGGCAGCTTTTTGACGTTGACCAGAATTTCAGAACTGATATTTCACCATTCCCATCTGCTGTTGGCATAATTCGTAGTAAAATATCACTGAATATCCTTGGGTTTCAAACTAACTTGGGTCTCATCACAAAAATTAACCATCCTCAAACATAACACCAACAAATATAGAAACGAATTTTGCAATTCCGAGTTACCAAAACACACACACAACGGGCTAGTTACCAATATATTAGCTACAAGGAGATAGCTAACGAAACTTACTTGTTACATTCGGTTTCGCTTACCCTAATCACAAATTTTGTTAGTGACCTTGTGATCATACGATACAGAATTAACGAATGACCTTGAATCTCATGTGATGTATCGACAGTGAGGAAGTAAAGGAGCAGACTATGGTGAATAGCACGGAAATATTGTGCTGGCAAGATCAGCATACCAAACGCCAGACGGCGCATACACTGTGAATAGCGGTATATCTATCCACACATGGATTCGGTATTATAGAAAGTACAGGTCAAAAGTTACGCACTTCCTCTAGTTTGGTTGTTGGTCTGTCAGCCGAGCTTGGCCGAACAGACCAACAACTAACCAGCGCACCCGAGCTACCTACAGTGCTGTATTTATGCACTCAATTATAAGCTCCCGAGTCCAATGCGCAGCTACCTACCCCATTTACCCGAATCATCATTGAACGAAACTGTGGCAGTTACAACCACTGTACGACAAGTACGCGGTCATATAGCTGACAAAGCTATAATCCACAAAACTGCCCCTTCTTTCAGTGATCCACACTGAATAGGAAAACAGAAACGGTGGAATAAGGAAAACCTGATGTGGAAGGGTCTTTGGGAATATGAATCAGGTCTAGGAAAACCGTTTGCATGTTTCGTAGCCCCGCAATATTTCTAGAAATCGGTGTGCAATACTCACAATCTTTTTTCGTTGGGCATCAATAAAAGCAAGGACGAGGCCAGACTTACCCGAGGTGGGAAAGGGTTCTCTCGTGTATCCGGATCTCCATCTGTGTCCTCATCCTCAAGCATGGCCAGACTATCATCGCCGTAGATCTCGCGAACTTGTTGAACGATTTCATCGATGCTCATCGACTGTTAGGATGAGGAAACCATGAGTACATGTTGCAATTCATGTGTTACAAAGCAAATTAAGATAGAAAAGTTTGTTCCCCATAGGTATGTTGTGATGTTTTCAAACATCCAGTAACTTCATGGAGTAGAATCGGGTTTCGTACAAGCACAGGTTACATGTTAGGTCAAACCGAGGAACCAAGTTTAGCTGGAACACCAAAAGTTAATTGACCCAAGACAGCCCAAAGGGCCAAAGAACGAGACCACCACTAGGAAATCCATTTCGTCTACGAAAATAGAATCAGTAGACACAAAGCAGCCACTTGGCCGATGCAGATTAGGAAGCAGTGATGATCAGCTTTAGCAGGAAGTGGCATCACCCCATAAGTTTTCTTAGACATGTTGTACGCCAAGAGAAGAGACTGCGTAAAGGAATTGGATAACAACGCCGTTAGGTGCGAGACACTGCGATATCGACAAGAGTTCCAAGAAATGACGGGGCTGGTGAGTAATGCAGTCTAGTCAAGTCAATTCAATCAAAGTCTCATGCATCCTGGAGTGAGTTCCCAGCATGCAGATTTACGATATCACAGGCAAATGATAGAATAATTCGATGAGCCAAAAATAACCTGAAATCCCATCAATGAACGCTTTGCACAAGTAGCAGGGATATTCTGTTGTGATGCAGGGCAGTAGGATTAACCAGAAAACTAACCAATCACGGAATCAAAGAAACGTGAAGGTGCTGGTGATAACAGTCCGTACCTGGAACGAGTGCATGAGAGAGACGTGGCCTTAGGGGGAGAGGGTGAAAGATGTGGGAAACGATTCGCTTGCTGATGTTAGAAGGAGCATCACAACACCTGCTCATGAAGTCATTCCTTGTGATTCCGCTACACATATAGGGTTTTTTAGTGACCTGAGAATAGGTCAACAGTCTTTTTCAAGGTGTCTTAGAAGGAGGATCGGGTAACAACAAATCCAATGGGAAAAAATAGAGATGATAACAACCTATGGAGACTGAAGCAGAGAGTGTTCTCAGTCTCGTAGCATAAAAATCTGTATGTCAAACGCTACTGAAAACAACTTGGATGCGTGATGACCAACTAAAGTTACTTGGTAGGTTCAAACCTGTGTATTTCATAGCAAACGTTTTGCTGAGGGGGTCACTGAAAATAGTGAGTGGATAATGGTTACTAAACAGGTCGTCGCAACATTGGTAACAGTCATGAGAAAATATAACGTCTCGGTATTTCAGGCCTTCAGTTGGTCAGCTGACAATTTTACTGGATACACTTACAAAGTAAGTGAAGATGTGCACTGGGCACGCGGTAACTACAGCCATTCACTATGTCGCCAGTGTACTTGCACTGTATGAAAAAAACTAAAGTACCAATACGGTGAATGAACAAAAGTCGTATAGCATTGGCCTTTGTATCTAGTGTTGGATTAAAGAGTGAACCACGCATGCAACGTCTCTTGCAGTGGAGTGAAATGGGTGATTTTAAAGTTGGTGCGAGTCTTGGTTTAACAAAGCACCTTTTAGTGGATTCCGTGGCACTTTTCAAAAACCGTCGGAAGAATTCAAGTGCAGGTAACTGATCCAAGATTTGTTGACCCTTTCCTTGGTACCTCAGTCAACGGAAGGACAGTTAGGGACTAGAACAAGTGGCGGTTTGCTGAGAATGTTCGCACATACTTTGGGCATCCAGGCAATAAATGATTGGGATCACAAAATAAAGACTAGTCGCAACAAAAAATGGCACCTTCGAAATACAGTCCTGGATTTAAAACAGGCTGGACGTCATACTGATTGCTTCGATCCAGATTACTGTGCGTGTTCTCAATTTTCTGTCAACCTGTACATTCTATCTAAGATCAGATTCCATGAAGACACCAAAATCCATGCGACATAAAGCTACCTGCATCACGAGATTATTTGGTCCTCTGTGTACGAATAAAAATTCAGGAGCGGATTTAGTATGCTGATAAACCGAGTCGATTGAGTATGTCACACAGGTTTCAGTAAACGAACGATCACGATCAGCTGATGATAATTTATGCATAGAGGCCAGGTTTCACACGCACAAGGAAAAACGACACGTACGGCAAAGCAGCAAGCTGGACCTTTCAGGGAAGCGCGAACATCGCGCCTCCGTCACAGGGCAATAGAAGGGATATTTCTTCCCCGATACCTTCACTAGTATTTATAGAACTTCCGACCACTTCCAACTTGTCACAAAGTAAGGTGAGAAACTACCAGTGCTGGCAAAACGCACGCCAAGTCGATATACCTTGGTTATCAGACAACGCATGAAAGTCTGCATTTCCTTGGTGGTAAAAACAATTAAATCAACATATGTAACATGAGAGCGACTCCGACAGTCCAGTTTCGGTGCCCAGAGCGATAGCCTCTCATAAACACACGGTTTCCAGACCGGAACGTTGGTTTCCCTCCCACCAGTGATTGGGAACACGAAAATGTTTGCAGGATAGCGACCATCCAGAGACTAGATTAGATGCTCTATAATTCAGCAGTAACGTATCCAGTACTTCTGTCGTAGTCACTTCCCCTTCTGCCTGTGTCAACGCGCGTCCAAAGGTGTCTACGATCCGTTAAGCTTGACCGTTGGATTGGGGATGGAATGGTGGGGAAGTAACATGTACGAAGCCGCATCTTCGGACGAAATCCACCAAACTGATGGGATGTGAACTGAGTACCATTGTCGGACACAATAGTCTCCGGGATACCACATATTGAAAACAAATACCGCAGTTTAGTGATTGGTGCCGTCGTTATTGTCCCAGACGTAACAAGGACTTCGAGCCACTTACCGAATGCATCAACAACGATGAGGAAGCATTGTCCGTCAATTGGTTCGGCAAAATCCACATGAATGTCCGACCATGGATTTTCTGGCTATGGGTAAGGCAGCGGCGACTGTCGGTTGGGTAACCTCCGGGCAGCTGCGCATCGGAAACAAACCCGACAGACCTGCTCCGTGTGGTCATCCATAACGAGACAATAAACAGCTGCAAGCAAGGGCCTTCATGCGGTTTATCCCTTATGGAAGTTTGGTGGGAACGACGATTCGGTAACAGAAGAGAAGACAGTCAGTGACAACAGACAATAAAATGCGTCGTTGAAAAAGTTGGCGGAGTTCTCCTGGTGAACAGGTTTCTGGCCAGTTGGATTGGTAACACCCCATTGCCTTCCATAGTACGTAGTCATCGCGCACCGTCATAAGTTATAGGTAGTTGGTTCATGGTCTCCAACACCACAGCACGGACTTCCGGTTCGACGGCAACAGCTGCGTTAGACCGTGGTTCTGACTGCTTTCGTTTGCTTCGTGACCTACCTACCTGGCTGTGTCATCGTTCAATAGCCTCGCTCTGATATCACTCTCTGAATGCGAGTGAAGGCCACAAATGAGAAGAAGAGACTTGAACTGGTCATCCGTCATGGTAGACAACTTGAATTTTTCACATTCAAGATTGACTCTACCAGTATCAGTGATATAGTCATCAGATAATCTTTCCGCTAGTTTCACACACTGGTAACGAATATTAAACAAAGGCGAACGCTCACCGAAAATTGTTAAAACGGTTTTGTCAAAATTGAGACCTTAGTTATCAACATTTTCCCCTATGAGATCTCGCGTGTTCTTTGGTAAGATTAAGTCGGAATACCATGTGTGTTCCGTTGCACCAAGCCTTCTGAGCAATAAGCACACTCTCCGGGCATCATCTTTGCGCGTCGATTGTGAAAATGTCTTCGTAACGTCTTAACCACCAAAAGGAAGGTCGTAATGGAATTCCCCAATGCTGTTGACTATCGAGTAGAGTGAATTTGTATCTGGAGAGGAATTTGGTGATTGAATTTTAAGTTGCTGCGTCAAGATTTCCATCAAATTCCGCTTCAGACCGATTACGTTGTTGCAACAGAATTTCCTTCAACGCTTCAGCGGCTATTCTCATGGTGCCATGGATTCGGGCGTCGTCAATCTGTTATGCCTAACTGGTGTGTCCACTCCAAAGCCTAGTGCCGGAAAAATAAGACTCGCCGACAAGGAGCATAACAAAGTGTGACCGCAAACCCAAGTGAACTTATAAATGACACGGGAAGCAGAACGACCATTCTAAAGCTGGGCTCCATATAGAAACATACTCAAGACTGGGAATAACTTAGCCGCTCTGTAGATGCGGTCCAAAGCGGACTGGTTTGTTCTGCTTGATTTTGTTTATGATATGTCTAAGGAGCCCGTAGCTGCTCATAAAAGTCCATTGCACAACCCAACGTATGAAACGCACTAATCAATTTGACCACTAGCTAAGGAGATTGCAATGAGTCCAGAATTTAAGGACAATTAGTCATTTGGGATTTTCCAAGGGTTGAAAGAACACTTACAGGAATCACCATGCACTGTTTGTCACATTCTTTACCGAGAAAGTCAGCACATAAAAGTTGGAGCGGAGAAAAGCATTCATACAGTAGATGGTCTGAAAGCTGTTAGTCAAGCCCATGGGCTTCACATACATCTGGTCTCAAGGCTTTCAATTCAACCCCTGTTTTGTTTAATCCGCTCAGTTCTAATTACAGTACTTAATGTGAAAGTTCACAATGATACCTGACAAACCTTTCAGTGTGACCGAATGTTTCAAGACGCGGTGGAAGACCTTCGACAAACGGGTGCTGATACCTAGGACAAAATCCGGCACAAGCGTGTACTGAGGCGTAAAAAGGAATATGCGGGTTGCAACAGTTGCACGGTGTAGGTCAATCACAACGTTATACACCTGTTCATCAATTGTGATTCGACAAGATGCACCATAAGATGACAATTACGTCCCACTACGCAGCGACCAGTACCTGAAGAATTAACTGAGGATGTGGTCACGGCACTCTTACTGGCATTGAAAACAGCGCGCAGCTCATGCATCGAACAGTAGAAGTTGAAACTATCCTTACCTTTTCTAATTTCCAGTGATGCTGAGCTGTCCATTTTATGGGCTAAGCTACC